TCTGTAGCCTGCAGCCTTTTTACTTATTCTGCACTCCTTAAGTAATGCAAATGTGGTGCTACTCCGTGTGAAACTTTGTTGTGCAGTGCAATAATACAACTCCACTTCCAATATGGACCTCAGTGTAATTTATCTTCAAAATGTCATTGCTGTAGGATCATTTAAATGTCTTTATAGGGTTAAATTTACATAATGCAATGCAAGCAATATTTCAACTCTGTTTGAAAGTTGGACCGCAGTGTCACTTTCTGCTAGCAGAAGTTTACCAGCTACACAAAGTCACAACTATAGGCAGATAAAGTTGGATAAACCTACTTACCAATTTCATATAGAGACTGTAAACCAGGACTTTGACTTTACTACTTCTACTACTTTATAAACTATATCTGGAGTCAACAATGCACAGTCTAGTTTGCATCTTCTATCTGTCTTCCAAATTGTGTTTTTTTTTTTTTTTTTTTGATAACTTCACTGTAGCTATGTTAACAATTATTACTGTACAGCATTTTTGGTCATTTTTTTCTGTTTTATAAGTTTTATCTTTAAATCTTTTTTTTGCTTAAAATGTTTTGTTCATGGTAATTCTGATGGCTATTGCTTACTGCAAATCAAAACCAGAAATCCATTTTCTTTTTTCAAAATACTAAGGTTGCATGAGTTTATAACAATAGTATCCCCCCCCCCCCCAAAAAAAAATATGTTTTTGGCCTAGACCAGAGGTCTTCAACAGGGGGTCCGCAACCCCTAGGGGGTACGCGGAGGTACTGCATGGGGGTCAGCACGCGCACACACATAGAGACGAGAAAACAAGCAATCAGAAAGAGAGAAGGAGGAACTTAAGGTGGAAAAATCAGAGAGTGGAGTTAAAAATTGCAGTACAGTTGATGCGATGCTACGTAGTATGTACAGGGAAAACCAGGCAGCTGCAGCTACCAGGCAGAGGAGCTGCAAGAGGAAAATGTTTGCATATTGTTCACATGCAATTGTTGGTAGGGACAATTAGGTCGGTCCACAATTTTGGTAGGGACATGTCCCTATGGTCCCTATGCAAACCTACGCCCATGTTAAATGGAAAAAGAAAAAAAATACTTGGAATTGGAGACAGTCATCCTGAATGCAGAAGTGTGTTTGTATTCCATAGGCAGTTCTAGACGGGGGCCAAAAGGGGCCCCTGCCCTTGTAGAACTGCCCCTGTAGTGAAGATACAAAATATTAAATACAATTCTTATTATATTCCCTAACACAGAAACTGTAACTGATTGGTCCCTCTGATCTAATAATGTTTTTTCTTTTTGCCTTAATATTTGTATTTCAACGGTGATTTAAAAATGAAGGTGTTGCTCTTTTAGTTTATGATGTCTTGACTGAGCTGAGTTTACAGTTTTAAGGGTGCAACCATTTTAGTTTTCTGACCGGCAACTGATTTTTAGATTGTCTGACATGCAGATTCCAATTTCAACCAATTCCTTTATTTCATAACACTTGTTATAATTCCTCAAGACATCCAGAATGTGTCTCATTTTATAAAAAACCCTGTTAAACAAAAAAATAAAAAATAGTTTAAAGGGATAATATGTAGGAATTACTAGCAGTGAAATGGGATATTTTACTCATATGAACACCACTCCAGTGAGTCACTTCCTCAAACACGTATTGCGACAACAGTAGCCACTGTGTGTCAAAAAAGACTCGCCTGCATGGATGTGATCATGTCACCCTAAGTGAAGGGAAGTTTCTACTTGCTGGCATTTACTGTGACAAATAGACAGCATTCTCCATTATTTCAAAAGCTACGGGGGACATGACCCCTGCACTTTTTCAAAAGTCTGTTTTGGTCCCCATTTTACAATCCAAAAACAATGTTAGGATACAGTTCACAGACAATCGTCGAGCACAAGGACCAAGCGGAAAACCGCAGCTCAAGCTGAAGCCCACTTCCCTGAGTTTAGACCGCCCACAAGCTGCTGATTGGCCCCTCCCTCTTTCCTGGTGTTTGAGCTGTCACCACTGTCACTCCTGAGAAGCTCAGTTTACAAAAATTCCGAATGGCCACTGAATCGGGTTTGTGACTGTTTTGTTCACAGTGCTGCTGAAGTCCCACACACTACCGTATTAGAACTGTAGGGTTTGTTAAAGATAGGCTCTGTGTATGCACCCTGATGCTCTATCTCTTTGGTTCTTTTCCCTGTAAAGAGATCACTCAGGACAAACTCTTTAAATAACACTTCATAACTTACATGTATTAAATAACCAGGAGACATGACAAAAGATTCTGATAGAAATTGTAATCTTACTCAGATTTAAGAAGTTGCTTAGAGTTTACAGAAGGCAGCTGCTTACCTCCGGGCTCACCTCTCAGGAAGTGGCCCTGATTAGCAGTCCCCCCTAGCCTGACGTAGTCCGACTCAATTCTAGTCAGAATATGAG